CCGTTGCCGATTATGTTTTTAATTATCACAAAGGTCCTTTGCCGATTGTGTTCTTGTATTGGGCACGGACTCAAGAAAGCCATTACAAAAAGGCAAGCTGTTTTCAAGGAGGAAGTAAGATCCAAACGTCAGGAAGATCCTAAAAGGCGGATAATTTAAGTGTTGAACTAGTCATAAGCGCAAGCCGGGTCTTCCTAATGCTAGGATCTTCTTGGCTTAGAGGTAGGACGATCTTTCTACTAGGAACAAACCAGACAAATATGGTGGCGGGTAGGGCATTGAAGTAATCACGGCAATAAACATGACAACCGACCATTTCGTCTGTCGTTACCATGAGCTGATTAATTTGACGGTTCTGCTGAAAGCCGCTAATTATGAACGCCAGTAAAGAGAGCGCAAGGGCCCAAACTGCACTTTGGTTTTTGTCCCTCTCAATTTTTAATTCCTTCTCTACTTGGGCACCACACGGGCCGTAATCTCTGCATATAAGTTACGCAACGAAAGTTGTCCCGCCTTCTTGTATCTTTCCTGGTACCAGGATCTTCCACCCTCTTAGAATAGCAGCTACATAGGAAAGCTTATAAGAGGTAACCACTACTAAAAAGTTCTTGTACTATACATAATTGTCTTGTTCTATGTACTTTTTGAGAAACACAAGTTTCTAATAAACGGCACTCTTCAACACCAACATTTTTGCTTGTTGTCAGACTTGATGCCTTCAAGAAACCCCCGCAACATGCCCTTAATGCAGTGGGACCTCAATTCAGGGGGCACCCTCGAGACCAAGGCAAGTGTCCCTTGAACAGAGGTGTCCCCCAAATAAAGTTGGTCTGGGGTTTGTTAATGGTAAACCAACAAAGGCAATCTACGAAATATGCATTAACTTATCTCTGAGACTTCATATGTTGAATTCACACGAGTGGATTACATCGATCAAGTTAAGTGAGATAGTTCAGTTTTTGAAAGCTTCCATAATTGTGATAAGTGTACTCTTAAAGTTATCAACCCTGTTTGTGGTCAGTCATGTTTTGAATGCTAAGTGTCCCCTGAATGGAGGTTAAACCTGGGTTTTGGGACCCCGAAAATGTGTTCCTTTCCCCTGAAAAGAGGTGTCCCTTCAATAATGTAACACATTCAAAGATTATGTGGAAGTTTTTTCCGGGACCAAATTTTGTTGATGGGGCTATCATCCTCTAAGCCGCTATAGAAGATATTACTACGGACACCCTTCACAATTACAAATGGAAGTTAAGCAAATACCCCTTCATATTAGCGTGCAGTCATTTACTATCACACCCATTTCGTTTTGACAATAATTACGAACGTCAAATGGGATGAAAACGAGACTTGTGTAACCCATTCTTAACAATTTAAGCAACCCAATTCTCAATTTTATGTTTTAAAGCATTAATTTGTATTAAGGTAATTCCCTTGGTTTGCACTGCGCACCCTCTACTGCGCATAATACTGCGACATCCAAGACGGCGACGGTTCTTCCCACTAGCGGGAAAAAAACAAAAGAGGGCCGCTTTTGCAGAGCTAATGCCGCAGATCGGCTGACAGCTTCCTGGTTTGCTATCGAAAAACAAGAAAATGAAAGAAATGTCCGTGATACCAGAGTTTGCAGTGGTTTTTCACTTCGCGGCCGTCGAGTAGTGGAATTATTAAAACGTCCTGGCTGATGATGGGGGCTGTGAAGCCTGTTGAACAGCTTTACGGCTCTTCAACTGCATTGACGAGCCAGTATTTGGCCTGGGATTGCTACTGTACATATGTACATAATCTTGACATACCTCATTCCTTGGTATTTGCTGCACTCTTTTCAAGTTTGAGTTTCTGTGTTGGCGATATCAAACACATAAAAACAACCGAAAACAAGCTTGGTCTCGAGTGCATACTTCGAGCACGATGGGCGCTATTTTGTATCTCGCCCCAGTCTCCGCCGCGCAAATTATCCATCCTGACCGCGATCTCAAAACCATGTCCATCTTTCACAGCAGTTTGTGAGGAAACAAGCACAGTGACCCCCAATTTTTTCCCCAGGCATTTGCTAAGAACAGTCTAATAAAGAATATGTTTGAAGAAGAAAAAAAGTTTGAGAGTTGGACAAGCTTTTTTTTTTTTTTGTAAAATAGTTCCGTTTCTGGTGTACTGGGTCAAGGCAAAGACTTCAAGCTAACTTCGGGACTGTCCGAAAAAGTGCAATATCCCCACCACCAGGCAATCAAAAACGAACTAAATGAAGCAATACTGTCTATTTAAATAAAAGAAGCGTTATGTTGAAGGTAAAATTTTGTGTGTTTCAAGTAACAAAAAGTCAATTCTGTAAGAAGATGATTCGAATTTTTAACGCTCAACCTATAAAAATACCCCAGCTTAAGAGCCTGCTGAGGTGACCCCATCTTTTTATTGCATTTTTTAATGTTCATATCATGAATATTGATTATGCCAAGTTTCAAAAAAAATGTTTGATAGTGGAACAATTTCAACGGAATTGCCTTAATTATTATTCTGTTTGAGTTTAAAAAAAAATTGACTTGACTTGCAACACCAGATCCCATCCCTTCCTTTTTAAAGTGAGTGGAATGACTTCAAATTTACTTCAACCAAAAGGATTGAATATTCGTTAGCTTCTAGTATTAGAGCAATTAAGTTTTAAAATCTTCCCTCCACAGTTACACAATCCCTCCCTCCCATCCCTAACGTTTTATAGGCCACCCTCTCTCCCTCAAGCCTTGCGAAGTTTTGCGAGTTTTTAGTTTTAAAATTCTACTGGTTGCTTTACTTTGTGGAGCCAGAATAGTTTGATTTGTCGACTGAAGGATGTTTCTGAGAGGTGAGCTTAAAAGTATACTCGGCGAATACTGTTGCTACCTTGTTTGTCTTGTTTTGGTAGTGTGAGGGGCAACAAGTCGGCCCCTTCTACTGTTAGCAACTGACAGTACTGCTTTCAGTATATATATATATATATATATATATATATATATATACACCCGTTTTCAAAAAGGTTCTCATACAGAGAGATATATAGATAGATATATACTTTTGTTCTCTTGCACGTGCGCCCGTGTGTATTTTTCACTTGTTATTGTCCAACTTGTGAAAAACTCGGTTCAACGATAAATTTTTTCGTCGTCGGGGTTTTTGTTCCAATTTGAAATGTCGTTTTGATTTTTTTTTTAGAAAAATACATGCCCCCTTGCGATACAAACTTGCAATGGCGAATTATATAGCTGATTTCGGGAATAGGGAAAACATCCCGCGAAGCAGCCGATCCGCGAGTTATACGGCGTCACCAAATTGGTAGGCCAAATGCCATGGCATCTGTAGCAAGTGACGAAGCATTTTTATTGATGGAGTGTATTAAAAAATGCGCTGTCCAGGGGCGTGCTTAAGAGAAACTGTAAACTAACTTGAAAGCATTTGTGGCCGAGAGTTTATTCTGTCTTCAATGAGACGTTACCTTACAGGCCGCGATTTTACACGAAAAAAGGTGAGACATTAATATATATGACCCGCTCATCATGGTTATGGTAAAATCTACTTCTATGAACCTAGTCAAGGTCTTGGTCCGTTTTAATCAATTGCTATAATATTGTTGCTCCTTCCCACATATCCAATATGGATATCCACCGTCACATCTTCCTTCTCAGCGGTTTCGAA